TGCAATGGGCTCCGCATGCCTCAATCCCGTCTCATACGCATTCTTCAATCACAACTTCCGTCAGCAGTTCGTTATGTTCCACGACGCAGCAATAAGGTAATTGTGGATAGGTAAGATGCAACAATGATCGAATGCGCTGTTACACAGAGCTCCCGAACCTGGACCCGCACCGTCAACTGAAATTTAAGCCTCATTCTCGCGCCGATTCCTCAGCCAAAACTCAGATCACTTGAGTGACTGCGCTTCGCATTCTTCAAGCATCAATAATCCAAAACAGCCGAACTCTGGAAACAATCAGAGTGGCTGAGAAATCAAGGTAGAAGAAGTGCGAGTTCCTAGGTTCAGGATTCACGCTGATTCCTTTAAATGAAAGCTCCGAACTAAGTAATAAAGGCATCAGCAGTGCAGTGGTGCAAATATCGTGCCATTCATGTAGCACTGACACTTCCTCAGCAAAACGATTCGGTGTGTTTGGAGGAATTTTTTCACTTTTAATATTCCTCGTGTAATTCCAGGCTTGCAGCAGCACTTGGGCATTATTCCATCGAGAAGTAGTATTGTTCTCTCCCTCTAAGAAAAAAAGAAAACAATTTCCTAATGGCATTTGAGAGAGCTGTAGGTGAGGAGCGAGAAAAAAAGCGTGAACCATGAAATACCTGATACTTTGGTAGCGTTGTGCAACAGCGAAAGCAAGTCGTAAGCAAAGAAATTCAAAAAAAAGGTAGAAATTGAAGCCAAATAGAATTTATGGTGCCCCAGAGAGTCCTAACTGATCGGGGAAAACTATTGAGTCAAATAGGTCCACAGGAATATCCTGCAAAATCGGCTAGGAAAACGGGGAATGGAAAAAGCCGTTCCCCGAAGGACTCCAGCCAAATATTTTCTGCATGTGTTTGTCATACCAATTAATCTTGTTCGGTCTTGTCTGGATTTTAATTTTTTTTTTGTATAAGTTTTTTTTCGTCTTTTTTTTTTGCATAAATTGTAGAACAAGTAAACCAACCAATAGCACGTAGCGCCGGTATACAAACACAGGAAAGACAAAGTAATCTGTTCACATATTTTATTTTTCATCCCCGGAGGG